GGAATGCTCTGAACTTGTGCTAGGAGATAAGTAATCGTGCTTTTTAAGCGGGCGTCATACTGTTACTATTTCTCACAAAAGGGTAATTCTTCACCAGTCACCAAAAATTGAGAAGTAGTGTTCGTAGATCTGGTGGTGTTTCTTTCGTAGAAGAAAAGTTAGGAACTTGTTATTAGGAAAAGTTATTTGAGAAAAAGTAAGAGAAAAAGACAAATGAGATTTATAAGAATCGGTGGATTCACTAGGAGTAGAAGGATTTGCGCTTTCTGGGGAGGACTAAAGGCTAAGTAAAGGTGAGAATCACGAATGATGAACCCATATGCATAAGTAAATATTCTTCTGGTTTTGATTACGGGAAAGAGGATGGAGATGAAATCTCTGTGGATAATCAACAAGTGCTTCCGAGTATCACCCATGGAAAAAGTGTGTTCTTTCTTAGAATTCCTATTTCTTCCCAAAATAAATTCAGTGAGTGATGATTTACAACAGGGGAGAAGGGTAAAGAAGAAAAACAGCGTAGAGAGACAAGAAAAAGACACAATCAAGGGAGAGGAAATAGAAAAAGCATAATGGCTGAAATTTTCGGAAAAAATACTAATAAAATAAAGAATTAATCTATTTAGTATCTTTATGGTATAAAATAAAAAATAATGATTAAGTAATAATTGTAATTCTTTTATATAAAAAAGTAATAATTGTAATTTTTTTAAAAAGATAAAATTTTAAATTAAAAAATAATTTTTATTTTATAATTTAAAATAAATTAATAAAAAGTTAACTTATTGTTTGCATCATAAATTGCATTTTTTTTTTAATAATATCACATGTCAATGGATAAGATGAGATTAAATCTACTGAAAGGATGCGTATCTATAAAGTTGGTTAGAATGATAAAAATTATTCAGTTTGTTGTAATTTGAATTTAAAAAAAATAGTAATTCCTAGAATTTAGGAGGAAATTATTATCTATGATCTAAACAACAAGCAAGTGAAGCGGGGAAGCATAAATAGAAGCTTTCTGATTTTTTCAACACACGACCAGCCCTACACAAAAATTCATTAACTTTTCAATCCTTTAGTTTCATAGTAATTGCTCATCTTAGTTTTCATATTTCAATTTTAGCACAAACTCTAATAGATTTAAGTTGTTTTCAGCATTCAAGTACCCAAATTACTTTATATAATTGTTTTTTTGATTTCCTTTCATGCAATAAACATCAAGTTTACTCTAATTTGCATTTCATTCAATTCATTTTGGATCTATTAACTTAAATTCACGGTATTGGTAAAGTCCTTGAGATTATCCAAGGCAGATTAGTAACCCATTATGTAGGAAGACATCTCTCCCTCTTGCAAATCATCTAAAGGGCGCAAAACTCAGTCTTAAACCAGTGTTCTTCCAGCCATCCTAACGGAGGTTTACCATGTGGAAGGAGAGGGTCGTTGGAAAAACCCTTTTTTCTTGCTTTTTAGAAAAGTAAGTGGCATGGTTACATACAGATTCCGCACGTGTGAAGCCACTTGAGGATTTTTGAGGAAATAATCCTTTTGTGGCACACCCGGTGGGACCTCACCGTGTCTCACTCACAGTTTTTAGATCCACTTTTTCTATATCCAAAAAGAGGCATTGCTATGCCACCATAAGTTGAACATGCAAATGACAGTCCACTCCACTCTGAAGGTGGAAATGATCTCATTACTTTTTCCCCAATGTCATCTATGGCAAAACGGTCATATGAGAATCCAATATTCAAGGAGAAAAAAAGCAAATCGTTGGGTTGACTTTGCTAAATCCAGTAATGTGATCATAAGCTTGATTGAGCGTATGGAGTTATCATGCACAGAGCAAAACCATGCTCTGCAGAAACTCATTGAGAGTCAAGTAGAATCTTTCAAACGTCAGAAAGAAACAGTAAGACAACATATGGTTGAACTCAGATGGGTTTTTGAGAAAGGCACTAGAGCAAAGCAAGAAACTGGGGATGAAAGTCATAGAACATTGCAGGCTATTTTAGATCAGGGGTTAAACAAGTGTGTTAGCCCAGACCAGAAGTACCACTACCAACTTAGGTAGTGGATCCTCACAGACAGATCCAAAATCCATCGACTCTAAAACTCGGGGGGTAAGTCAATCGGCCGCATTTGCCTCCACAAAACCAACTGACAGTTGGTGGGCCAGTGCAGCTAGAACCAGTAGAGGTTGCACCACGTGTGGCAGATTTGGTAAATCAACAACAGTTGCAAGAAAAGATCAACAGAGGAATTCTGCAATTCCCAGAAAAGGCTAAAGAAACAATGGGAGTCGATGCAGACCCATTCCCTGACTTGTTCATCGGAGTGAACGTGGCAGATCTTCGAAGCCTTATCAAGGACAGAAATTGATCATACTCCAAGCGTAGACTTACAGCTAATGACTTGAGATGGGTCATTAAGAAGGCCAGAATTCACAAAGATCAGGTCAGATTAGATCCTCCACGAGGAAGAAGGCACGAGGGGCATGATCCGAAGTAGTAGAAAACTGGTCCAAGTCAGAGTGCTGTAAATTCTGGTTATGTAGAATGATCCAGAATGGTGAAACCACCACTCAAATCTCCTAGCCAGAAATGGAAGCAAGTAAGCCATCCAAAGTTCCCTAAAGCTCAGAATCCCAGAACTTTGAGGTGGCGCTTACAATGCAAGAGAGCAGAAGAGAGACATCGGCAGCAGATGGAGAACTCAGGGGGCATGGTAGATCTGGCTCAGCTGCTCCTAGTGAGAATGAAATCTGTTTGGGTACAGAAAGACAAAAACATGACATCAAGTCAGACATCACCAGAAGATGAAAAACATTCCAGAAGTCCTACTTCTCCCCAAGTTCTGACTATGGATACAAGTGAGGAAACTAGCTTGAAAGCAACGTTCAAGGTGGCAGAAGCAATTGAAAATTCAGCAAAGCAACAAACCATCCAATTTGGTGAGTTTTCAGTGAATTTGTCTTGTTTGGTGCGTACCCTTCCTCTGGTCTTTCAAGCCAAAGAAGAATTAGAATATGTGGATTATCAATAGGTAGATCAGGTTGAGGAAGGAATTATTGAGATCCTTGCAAAGGAGGATGAAAATGAGATTTCAATAGACAAAATTATTTTTGAAAAGCCAGAAGAGAGGATGGCCAGACATATAAGGCCATTATACATTCATGCTCACATGGATGGGATGCTAGTTAATTGAGTTTTGGTGGACAATGGTGCTGCTGTGAACGTGTTGCTGTCAACGTGTTGCCAACTTGTATGTTACACAAGATTGGCAAATCTTTGAAAGATTTAATGGAGACAGAAGTGACAATCAGCGACTTCACTGGAGGAGTAAATTGTGTAAATTGTTCAAGGGGAATTTTGCCAGTGGAACTCACTATGGGAAACAGAACTCTCATGTGTGCATTCTTTGTGGTTGACACTATAGCCACTTATAATGCATTACCTGGGAGAGATTAGATCCATTCTAACTGGTTTGTTCCTTCAAATTTGCACCAAAAATTGATATTCTAGAATGGTGGCAGAATTGAGGTCATGAAAGCTGATGACAAACCTTTTGTGGCTAACACTAATTCGGTGGAAGCTCGTTATTATGATGAAGAAATTGGGACTATCCGTTTCTTTGGGATTGACCGTAAGGGCAGATCAGCTAGAATTACCGCCAATACCATATCAGAACTTACTAGACGCACAGTAAATGAGGTTTGTGATGAACTCCTTTGGCCTACAGCAATTGTTCCTTTTAGGTTGAGGGAAGAGCTAGAAATTGAAGAAATTCCATAAAGAGACAGCAAATCAATTGCCAGAAGAAAAAGGCCGTGGAAGAAATCAAAAGAAAATTAGCGACCTATCTTATAGAAAAGCGAATCAATGTAGATAGATCTGAGGTGGTCCACGAAGGTGAAGATGAAAATCTAACCGATGTGGTTACTATGGAAGAGTTAGATCTGGTTCGAGCTAAACTTGATGATTTGAAAGTAGAAGTACAAGATCTGTTGGATGAGGTAAATTTGGATATTTCGAATTCTGGCTGAGTCAGATTTGGGTGAAATTGCATAATATTTTCTTTTCCAAATTAAGCATTTTTTGAGTATTCAATAAAGGTGCAAATCTGAATTTGTAAGCTAGGAGATTTGGCCGTGAGCAATCATAGCGACTAAATTATGGCTGTGTCAGATTTCAATCTACTCTAGATCAAGTATGCAATAAAGGTTGTGAAAAAGGAAAGTTGATTTTTTATTTTGGAAACTACGTTCAAGTCTGCCTCTATATTTGTGAGAAATTTGTTACAATGTTTTGCCAAGTTCTTTTTTGCCTGTTCCATAAGGAGAATCTATTTGTTAAGTTCTACAAGCTTGGCTTCAAGGTTTGAGATCTCTTCTTTTAGACCTTAGAGTTGTTTGACATATGGTATTGGTGGTTGGAGTTTGCATGCAATTTATTTAATTATAAACACTTGAATTTATTTTCATAAAATCAAGTGTTGGGGGGCATTGTTTACACCATAAATTGCATTTTTTTAATAATGCCACATGTCAATGGATAAGGTGATATCAAATCTACTCAAGGAATGCATATCTGTAAAGTTGGTTGGGAGGATAAAAATTATCTGGTTTATTGCAGTTTGAATTTAAAAGAAATAGCAATCCCTAGAATTTAGGAGGAAGTTATTATCCATGATCTGAACAACCAACAAGTGAAGAGGGGAAGTAGTTCTCATGAAGCAAATAAATAGAAGCTTTCTGATTTTTTCAACACACGACCAGCCCTACACAGAAATTCATCAATTTTTCAATTCTTTAGTTTCATAGTGATTGCTCATCTTAGCTTTCATATTTCAGTTTTAGCACAGATTCCAATAGATTTAAGTTGTTTTCAACATTCAAGTACCCAAATTAGTTTGTGTAATTGCTTCTTTGATTTCCTTTTGTGCAATAAATATCAAGTTTACTCTAATTTGCATTTCATTCAGTTCATTTTGGATCTATTAACTTAAATTCACGGTATTGGTAAAGTCCTTGAGATTGTCCAAGGTAGATTAGCAACCCATTCGGCAGGAAGGCATCCCTTCCTTTTGCAAATCGTCTGAAGGGCACAAAACTCAGTCTTAAACCAACATTCTTCCAACCATCTTAACGGAGGTTGATCGCGTGGAAGGAGAGGGTTGTTGGGAAAATCCTTTTTTCTTTCTTTTCAAAAAAGTAAATGGCACGGTTACATTCAAATTCTGCATGTGTAAAGCCACTTGAGGATTTTCGAGAAAACACCTATAATATTTATAATTAAAATAAAAATTAATTTTATCATATTTAAGATAAAAATTAATAATTATTAATTAATAATTATTTCTTATATCTTATATTTAACGAGGCACCCTAAAATAAAACAAACACAAAATGTAACTCAGAAAAAGCAACTGGTTTGAAAGTGGGTTGCCAGTTTATATGTGATATCGAGTTGCTACCTGTCACAAGGAAGACACGAGTGTCCAAGCAGGGGTAAAAGGCCGAGTGCCCTTAGCACTGCTCATGAGATGGTCTACGGCTACTGTTGCACGATTTGGGCTACTTTTGTCTACTCTCTTTTATATTTCTTTGAGTGAATGTGACTCTTGATTCTCCTAATGGAATTAATCTCTATAAAATAAAATTCTTGATTACCTAATTTAATTAGTACTAGCAACTCAATTGAGAAGAGTATGTTCTCATGTATATTGGTTTGTATTTTACTCCACCCAGTAATTTTTAAAAGGAGATGATCAATTGAAGTTGGTAAATATTTATTTTCTGGATAAGAATACTTTTTGTACTTTATTAATATTAATAAATATGAATTTTGTTTGCTTATAAAAAAAAAAATTATGTTGGTAAATATCAAATAGATAGACCCAAATATTACTAGTGTTTTTTGATGAACGGTCAAAATGAAAGCAGCGTGGTGGTGGTAGTTGTAGTGTTTCTTTCTACCACCCATTAGAGGGGAAAAAGTGTGATGAAGAATTGAAGATTGTAGTTTCTAGCTAACTTTTGCCCACAGAACTTTCATTTCAGTGTTAGAAATCTAGACAAACATTGATTAACAGCACCTGAAATTTGAAAACCGGGGGTGAGGGTTGGTGAGTGAGTACGGACTCCTCAGTGCTGCTTCAATTCAATACAAAATCTTTTAAATGTCATAAAATCCAAATAGGGATTTTCTGAGTGCCCATCGTAACCTATATTTATTGTATTTTTTTTTATAACTAATTTGTTTTAAAATATATAAAAGTTAATTATATTTTTAATATTAATGCTACGTGATTGATTTTAAAGCAAAAAATATATATTTACTCATCTAGTTTTAGTGATATAAATTTCTCTTTATGCTCTCAATTTGAATGAAATTAGTTAATTTATATTTTAATTGAAATACATTAATTAAAATGTAACAGTCAATATAATCATGTATCATCATTCTATCTTTCCCTTTTAATACTCAATAAACTTCCCTTTTAATACTCTATAAACGCTTGTGAATATGACAATCTTGTTCCTTTATTTTTTTTATTATATGATGTTATCTTTACAGATAGGTAAAAGATATTGTTTAACTCTTTATTAGCAGTCAATTTAATATTAAGAAAAAAAATGTCTTGTCATTAAAAAATAAACCTAAAATGATCAAATTAATAAGAACTTAACATGTATTGAAAGAGAAATTTGTAATGATAACTTATGATTATGCCATCTATTATATTTTGAAACATTAAAAAGCACATCAAAATGCGTAAAAGTATAAATGAGATTTGAGTGGAAAGTGTTTGATTTTTTTTAAATAAGGACTTCGGACTTCAAATGAGAAATAACCGTTAAAAGAGCTTTTTCTTATGAGGTCTAATACAACTTAATTCTAAATTAATTGAGTCTCAATATAATTATTAAATGTAAGAAAATTAATGTAAAAGTGCGTAGATTTACTATTAATAATGTACTTTTCAAAAGACCTAAACATGCTTTTCTTTTCCCTTTTTTTTAAAATTATTTTTACATTAAAAGTTTAGTATCAACAAAAATTTTAAATATTTGACATTAACTCTAATTCAAAAAATCTTAAATTAGTGCCACTAAACTCTTGTAGATGGATCTAAACATGCTAGGATGAAAAACACATGTACATCCCTTTTTTCGGAATTGGAAGACTAGTCTATATAATTATGCAAATATAATTAATAAATTAATAATGTTTACATAAATGACACTGAAACACCTAGTCGAAATTCTCATTAGCTAAAAATCTCTACAGCCTTAGTAATGGTTAGTACAATATGAGTTTTAGAAGATGATTAAAGATGTAGAATCTTCATACTCACGTAGAAATACCATCCAACATTTCAACAACCTGACTCATTGCAGGCCTTCCTCTTGTGACCTCACTGGTACACAGACGAGCAATTCTGAAATACTCCTTCACATTATCTAACATCAATCCTTCATTGGAAACATTTTCTCCCAACATTTCCATTTCCCGATTTTGCTCCGCCATCTTTCTAGCCCACTCAACCAACCCTACCTGCACCCCGTCGAATGTCACGGGCCAGTTGGGCCGCCTTTCCGTGGCAATTTCGATCATCAAAATCCCGAAACTGTACACATCCGCCATCACCGTGGCTGCCGTGTTCCCTTCCCGGTACTCCGGTGGCATGTAACCCATTGTCCCGGCCACCTGAGTTGAGACGTGGGAATGGGCCTCCTTGACCTGCCTTGCGAGCCCAAAGTCAGAAATGTGGGCCTCAAAGTCTGAGTCCAGTAAAACATTGCTGGCCTTGATATCTCTGTGGATAATGGGTGTGTCCAGCCCATGTAAATAAGCCAGCCCATTAGCTATTCCTCTTACGACCTTAATCTTCGTCTTCCAGGATAACGGCGATCGCCAATCCGCCAGTCCGCACTCCTCCCGTGATGACGTGTCGTGCAGCCATTGGTCCACACTTCCTTTTTCGAGAAACTCGTAGATAAGAATCCGATCAAGACCCGTCGAACAGTAACCGAGAATCCTCACTAAGTTCTGGTGGCTGAGCTTCCCGAGCGTTTCCATTTCGGCCCGGAATTCACGGAGGCCCTGGAAGGCATCTCGATCGAGTTTCTTGATGGCAACGGTGACGCCGTTGGAGAGAGTGGCCTTGTAGACGAGTCCGAAGCTGCCATCACCAATTACGAGATCCGCCGAGAAGTTCTTGGTAGCCGCGGCCAACTCGGGCATGGAGATCTGGTGGAGAGACGAGTCGAAGCTGGAGACGTCGTGGACCGAGACGGAGGTGAGATCGGGAGGGTTCATGGCTGAGCGGGCAGGGACGATCGAACCGTTCTGGTGGCAGTTGTTGGGTGGTTTTCTGGATTTGCAGAGGAGAAAAACAACAGCAAAGAGAAAAGTCACCACGAAGAAGCCTAGAACTGAGGCGAAGACTTTTGCCAGGGCCGAGTCCAGCTCCAAAACTTTGTCCATAGGGAAAACAGTGGCAAGGCAAGGCAAGGCAAGGCGGTAAGAGGGTGATGAAGAGGAGAAAGATTATGGGCAAAGAGAGAGAAAGAGAAAGACGATGAGAGCCGCCATGAAAGGGGGGGTTGGTTTGTGTGTTTTTCAATGAAGTTTGGTAGAAGGTCAATAATGCTGCCGTTCCGAAGTCGTGGAGACTGACGAGTCAATGGTTTTAGGGGGGACGAAAGCTGGGATCGAGTGTGGCCGTTTTGTGCTGTGGCAACGAATCATGAACCCGTAGCTTAATCCACAAAAACGTGCCGCCGAGGATGATTGGACGGTTGATTATTACGTCGACGTTGGATTAGATTCTACCTCCACGGACCCACACGGAGTTTTTTCCTTTGTTTTTTTTTCCGTTGGCCGGGGACCCCACACGGAATTGTTCATTCCAGTCCTTTTCCAATAATGTTCTCGTGAATTTCATAGGAGAAAAAAATCGAAAGAAAAACAGTTTATACATGACTGCCTTTCATAGGTTACAATCGCACAATAAAAACAAGAAAGCTTAAATGTTAATTTTTATTTCTATACTTTTAATTTTAAATATTTTTAATTATTTAAACATTTTTTTGTTTATAAATTATGAAAAAACATATATTTTTTTGTTAATTTATTTATTAAATATGTTTCAATATGTATATTTTTAAATTTTAAATTTAAGAATTAAAAATATGTATTTTTAATAGATTAATAGATGAAATGAATAAAAAATTGTATTTGTCTTTGTTCAAAGAGAAAAAAAAAGAGTAAAAATTAGTTAAAATATTAAAAACATTCAAAAATTAAAAGTTCAAAAACTAAAATTATCATTTAACTAACAAGAAAATAAAAGAAAAAAAAACAATTTATCTAACAATAATTTGCCTGCTACATTTTCTTTGCAGCTTATAATGGTATGGGAAATCTCAAACTTATTTTGTATGGAATTGTTTCACTTAACAACTTATAGATAGTTGCCATAATGATGAACACAATTAAGGAGCATAGGTTCATAATCGCTAGCATCAGATAGTAATAGGGAAGATGACTCGTTCTAATGCTAGTGCCAATCCAGTTGGTTGGACATGCTAAATTAAGTACTGCATTAAGCAAACAGCCTAACCCCTCCGCACATCCATCTACAGCAAGTACATGAAACTTCATGGATGGTGGTAGGTAGTCATAGAGGAAATCGTCAATGCCTTCATTAACAAGTCCTTTTGTCAATCCTAGAAGGAAAAATTGCGGCACAAACCAAAAGATGCTGAAGGAATCACCGCTATCCAATCTGTGAGCCTCGACATGACAAGCCACCAGGCAGCAAAGAGAGGAGAAAATCATCCCAATACTAATTCTTACAAGCCTAGCACACTTCTGTTGGTTTTCATCTCTGCAAAACTTTTTGATTAGAAGACCACAACACTGTGAGGTTGGGAAGGCTATGCATCTTTCGCCCACGTAGAAAGAGCCCTCCGGAAGCCTGAAGCTTTGTTTAGAATTGTTGTCTACATAATCAACTTGTGTAATGAACAAAGTATCGCCAATTGGACCGACCAAAAAACAGGTAAATATGAATGTTAACCATAAAGGGAATAATCTTAGAAGAACATTTCCTGCTTGCTTTAACTCTGAAATTAAGGTATTTCCAATGTCTTCTTCATTCTTGTAAAATTTGGTGCCAAACGAGAAGAACAGATTGTAACCCGCTACCATCACCATGGTTGAAATCTTGAACGTTTGATCCCAAGAATGCATGGACATATATGCTGCACCTACGATGACAGGAGATCTAGCAATGAATAACTTAACATTTGTCCGATTCTGAATTTCTTTCACATCTATGTTTTGTGATTCTTCTTCTGATGCAAGCTGATCCCGGAACAGATAACGCACACAATCGTCTCCTGCTTGGCGCATTGTTATTGGTCCTAGCGCAAAGTAAAAAAAGAGAATACTGTTGGATGGACTTAGACTAACCCACAGTAGCAGAATACCCTGCAACAAGAATGTGTTACATGATTCAGGGAAAATGGTAATTGCTATTGATTCTTCCAATTGCACAAAATAATCTCACGAAAAAGGAAAAGATATATACCACCAATAAAAATGAACTTACAGCTATGAAATTTGAGTAAGTGTAGAGAATCATTTTGAAGAGACCGATTCGATTATATCCAAAGTATAACATGAACATGCTCAGTAAATTTGATAATCCTGCTTTGGACATTTGAACCAATTGATGCTTTTCTAAGGTTACCATCCATTCGTTCTCGCAGCAACAAAATTAGGTAACCTAAAAATCCCTTTTCTGCCACGAAATGACCAAGAAGTAAACCTATCATGGGTGGAATATTAGGTTAAGTTGAGAAACATTAACAGCATGCACATGAACTTATAATTCAACTGTTGAAGTACAAATTCTCTATTTCATGATGAATGGGTTCAAATCCACTTCCTATTGAAAAATTACTAAAGCACCTGAAATAAGTAAAGTGGGAAAGGAGAAGTGGAGGTAATGGGAAGCCCATCCACGTATTTTCGTCTTGACATAAGAGACACAACTGCGTATGCTCCTCAACATAAGGGATTGATGATCTTTCAACTATTGCAATTTGAAGAGCAAGAAATGCAGTGTTAAGTTGCTTGTTTCAACTATTGCGTATGCCCCTTGACATAGGCAAACCCTTATTTTTAGTCCTTTATCTTATTAGATTTATAAGTTTTAGTCCCTCATCTTATATTGTGACACTTTTAACCCCTCATCTATTAAAAGTAAAGAAAATAACCCTCACTTATAACATTCTGTTAGTTTTGTTAGCTGACTATTAATTCTACTAGGTGATTATTAGCTGACTATTAATTGATAAAAACTTACTTTCAACTAATAAAGTTAACAATCAATTAACAAAACTAATGAAATATTATAAGGTGATGGTTATTTTATTCAATTCTAATAGGTGAAGGCTAAAAGTGTCATAATATAAAGTGAGGGGTTAAAACCTGTAAACCTAGTAAAGTAAATGGCCAAAAGTAAGTTTTTGCCCCTTGACATAAGGGATTGATGATCTTTCAACTATTGCAATTTGAAGAGAAAGAAATGCAATGTAAGTTGCCTGTTTCTTCTATAGAGCGAAATGAGCCCTGTCACTGCTATTATATATGGAAAACCTAGGAAAATCCAAAAATGTTAGTCAAGTACCCAAGCTGAAAAGTCTAATTATATAATTGAAAAAGTGTTTGAAGTATTCTGAGCTGAAGTTTGGTTTGAAACATTCTCAACTAAAGTTTAGTGTTAGAAGCAACATCCGTAATATGTTAGAAGTTATAATAAAAAAAATTCGAAATCAGTTATTTTTGTTCTTCCATAATTTATATTCCATAGAAAATTGCAGAATTTTGAATATGACTCAACCTCAAACAAAACCCCTTTGTTTCAACAGGACTAGTAAGTGGTATTCTTGAACATTTTTAGTGACTGGTGCCAACTAGCTTCCTCAAAAATTGTTTGTGGTTGTTGGGAGTTTTCTGCTGCAAGAATTCATATGAGCCATTTTCTTTCCTTCATCTTTGATTATTTCATTCAAGGAGAGTGGTTTTTTTTGTTTGCTTCTCCGATATATGGTCTTAGTTGATTTTTTTTATTGTGTCTATCAGTTTACTGTTTTTTCCTTTTTCCTTGGCATGAGATTGTAAACGAGAGAGTTTTTGTAAGGGTTTCAAGTATTATTTCTCTTGTTATTTTCTTATAATACATTCGTTTTCCAATACAAAAAAAAAAAAAAAATCAACAATTATTTTGGCTCACCATTTCTTGACTTCTTAAATTTGCTTGCTTTGCATGAATGTTAGAGAAAATATGTAAACAAAATTTGGTAATTTTCCACAAGAGAAATGAAAGATGATAAGGAAATAATTGAAATGTTTCAACTTTCAACATATAAAATTATATCTATTCATCAAAATGTGTCAGTGTATCTTGAAGTAAATCAGTTAACAGTTCACATCCAAAAAAAAACATGAGAGAGAGAGGTAGAGTGAGAAACAGGGATTCAAGCTACAGGCTCCATGCAAGATCGGGACGCGCAGCACTGAGCAGAGAGTTTGCAGGATCACGAGGGAGAAGCAGACAAGGGTGGTCAGTGGATACAGGGTACAGGAGAGTTAGCAGAAACAAGAAGTTCAACCATGCCTGGGGGTACAACAGAGGATTATATAAACAGGCTACAACTTTTTTCTTCTCAAATATCCCAAATGATTGGAACTACAATGACATGTGGACAACTTTCGATAGATATGGGAGGTTGATATCAATCTATAGTCCACAAAGAAGAAACCAATTCGGAAGGAGGTTTGGTTTCCTCAAGTACATTGAGGTAAGAAATGCGAGGGAGCTGGAAGAGAAACTGGACCAAATCTGGGTCGCTGGGCGGAAAATATGGGTTAACATTGCCAAATACCCGGAGGAGAAGATTGCAGCCAAGAAGAAAAGTCTACTCTCAAACCCGTTTATGGTGGTAGAAGGGAAATCCTATGCAGATGCTGTTAAAGGCCAGGAAGAAATGAAATATGGTAAAACAGGGTCTCAACTAAAGCAGATAAGAACAGAGACGGTGTATGGAAAAAAAGGAAGCATCCCCAAAAACAGTAAAACAGAACAGAGGAAGATATGGAGAGTAAAAAACAGAGGGACAGAATGGAGAGGATTGGAATACAATGTGAAGGAAGAAGATTATGAGTGGCTTCAAGGCTGCTACGTTGGTATTGCCCATTCAGTTGAGATGGTTCCCAACATCCAAGAGAAATTTTATATAGAAGGGTATTTCTCATGCCGGCTAAGGGCGATGGGAGGCAAGATGGTTCTCATGGATTGCGAGGACAAAGAAGAACTAAAGGATTTAGTGCAGGGAGCTGCAGATTGGCTGGGGCAATGGTTCTCTGAAGTTAAACCCTGGTCACCTCCTATGGTGGCAAAAGAACGGTTCGTTTGGATTAGATGTCAAGGAACCCCTTTGCAAGCTTGGGGTCCTGCGTTCTTTGAGTCAATGGCAGTTCCATGGGGCAAATTTATATGCCTGGATGATAGTACAAGTCAGAAAAGGAGATTCGATATAGCGAGATTCCTCATATCAACCCAGATAATGGACCTCATCTCAGTCAAAAGGCAGATTACAGTGAATGGGGAGGTGTACTGTCTCAAGTTCACTGAGGAAGAGATGACTAACAGTCTTTTTTCGTTGAGATATGATTTCCTTCCAAGCTTCAAAAGTGATTCAGAGCATGAAGAATACTGGTCGGAGGCCAGTGATTATGACGATGAATGGCAAGATGATGAATGGGGAACCAACAGGGAGAGGGCCGGGGAAGAAGAAAAAGCCGTTGGTGATACAGTGGGCCACAGTACAAATGACAGAAGGCACGCCGTCAGTGCAGCAAACGAGGAAGAGTTTGAATTAGAAGAAAGAGGTGCTGAAGCGGGACAATTTGAAAAAGCTGAAGGAAGTTCCCAAAGCCGGTTAAAAGAATGGGATACTGCAGAAGAAGTAGCTGACAGCATTGTTGAAGCAACAGTGTATGAAGTTCAGGTTGGACGAGAAGAGAAAGGTAGGGAAAAAGAAGCTAGTTTAACCAACCAAACTAGCTCAGACCCTATCCAAGCACCGGGGGATGAGTTACGGTTTGGGCAAGCTGCACAATCAAAAGGTAATATGGGCCATAATCAAAATGTTGTGAAGGGCTTGGTAGAGAGACAATGGGCCTGCAACAAAAAGGGAACAATAGTTCGGAGGGGGCCCATTCCACTAAATAAAAAAGCAAAAAAGAAAGGGAGCATAATTAACTTGAAAGCTCTGGAAGCTGTCCGAAGAACCCACACCAGCTCGTTGACGGCAGACAAGGGGATCGAAGACAGCAACGGGATGGATGGGTCAAATAAAGTAGGAGTTTCTTCTCAGCTGGTGAGCGAAGATGAAGGAATTCAGTTGATGATCTCCAAGCAACCACAAGAAGCGGGAATTTCTGCTCAGGTGGAGCATGTAGAGAAGGAAGTGCAGTTGCAGATCTTGAAGAAGAAGGGACCGAAGGGGGCTAAGGAGGTAATCTCGGTAGAGAAAGAGGGGGATCTGGTTCAGTGGGAGCACGAGCATGAAGAAACGCAGTTGCAGATCCAGAAGCAGATGGGATCGAAGGGGGCAGAGGCGGGTTTTCTCGAAGAGCCAGAGGGGATCCCTGTCCAGGTCCCGGGCAACAAGAACAGAAAGAAGAGGTCAAAGTCATGCCACTCGGTGTATCTCAAAGCACAGCTGTCAGGGGTGATGATTCGGAACAAAGAGGGCAGAGGGAGATCCAAGGAGAGCGAACCAAGAACAGAGGATTTTCCAGAATTTCTGTCAACTGGAAGAAACTCAGTGGCGGGTGACTCAGTTGGGGATAGCGGGATTGAGAACTGCAACCGTATCTTGAAAGAGGAACAAAGTAGGAAAACAGCAGAAGATCTATGGGATTTTGCAAAAAGAATTGGGGTGGTTGCAGAGGACGAGGTAGGTGTAATTCGGGATTTAGAGGAGATGGAGAAAAGAGACAGAAAAGAAAAAGAAGCGGAAGGCTCCAAGGCAGGGAGCGAGCATAAGAAGGTTAGTGTTGTTGCCCCATGAATCTGATGTCTTATAATATTAGAGGGTTAGGAGGAGTCGGGAAGAAAAGGCATTTGAAGGAATTATTAAATAAAGAAACAGTGGATTTTTTAGCAGTACAGGAAACTAAGATGGAAGGGATAGATAGAAGTTCTTGTAGAATGATATGGGGATCAGATGATTTTGAATGGGTTGCCAGGGAAGCAGAGGGTTTGTCTGGAGGTATGCTGTGTATTTGGAATTCCAAAAAATTTAAAATGGGAAGAGTGTTGGCGGGGACGGACTTTATAGGAGTTGAAGGGGCCTGGGGTGTTGAACAGTGTCCAGTAAGTATTATTAATGTCTACTCCCCATGTCAACTGGGGAAAAAGAGAATTCTATGGGAGGAGCTAAAAGCTCTAGTAGCAGGGAGAGGTGGGAATTGGTGTATTATGGGAGATTTCAATGCTGTAAGGAAAGTGGGGGAAAGAGGAGGGAGTAGAGAAATATCAGCGGAAATGAGGGAGTTTGATGGCTTCATCAGAGATGTGGGTTTGGTTGATTTACCGTTAATAGGGAGAAAATTTACATGGGTACAGGCAAGTGGCCGCTCTATGAGCAGAATTGACAGGTTCCTGCTATCGGAAGGTTGGTTGACTAAATGGGGTGATGCCAAGCAGTGGGGACTTAATAGGACAGTATCTGACCACTGTCCAATTTTGCTGAAACAACAAGTAGTTGACTGGGGGCCTAAACCGTTCAAATTCTTCAATTCTTGGATAGAGCAAGAAGGTTGCAGAGAGCTGATTAAAGAGACTTGGAGTAAGGCAGATGTCCAAGGCTGGGCGGGATACAGAATAAAAGAAAAGCTGAAGATGACCAAGGAAGCCCTAAGAAAATGGAGCAAGGATTTAGTTCCTGTGATTGATAAAAAAATAAACACTGCCACTTCAGAAATTGCACAG